AAATGTCCAGTTGTGGTGTGAAATCATATTTGTTCCATAAACATGTTGAATCTGAGCAAATATTAAACCTATCAATAGGAAGCATTTTTCTTCCGATAATGAATGACGAAGTTCTACTAATTTGTTTTCGAAATTTGATCAGTTTTTCAAGAATATCTTATGTTTTTCTATTGAATCATTAAAGACATTAGAATTTTCCAACAAGGAAGTGATTCATTTTCTTTGCGCGTCAAGTGTAAACTGCACATGTTCTGATATATATATGTCGTACTGGTGTAACTTCGATACGAAATATATATTCATTCCCATGAACAGAATAAACGGTACGATTTATTATTTTGAGTCTCTACATAATTACAGTAGCGTTCGGTCTCAAATTTATATTGCTATGATATCTCTTATTACTATATCTACTGACATAATGACGATATCTAGTTCAGGTATTGTTTCAATTTTTGGGTAAGTAATGTATACTAATAGTTCTCGTGACAATGATTTTATTAATTGTTTACTATTCGAATCAGAGTGTAGAGATGATACTGAATTCTGGAACTAGACATCTCGGTTTACATTATGACATGATATTTGAGCATCAACAAAGATATTCTTATTCTGAAAACCATGTTTGAAAAATTACTAAGATGCATGAAACACACAAGTCTAGAAGGAAATAAGAAATACCAGTAAAGTGACAAATTTTGGACGCAACTACACAGGAAATCACTTTGAAGGATTGTGATTTTCTCAATAATTTTTTGATTTATACAGTTGAGGTTTTGTGAGTAGATACAGTAATGAAAGATGGACTAGTGGTATAAATTTGAGACCGAACGACACTATAATAATGAAGAAATTCAAAAAAAATAAAATATGCCGTTTATCTTGATCGGAGATTACACAAGTTGATTACTTAAGTCGCAGTTGAGAACATGAGTCTTTATCATCTTGTAAGTTCCATTCGTACCCACATCCTAGCTAGGCTATATAACTGGTACAAGTTCCCTACACTTAGCTTCATATTTTTTTTTGGTGCATTTCGATTCACCAGAAGACAGTTTGAAAAGCATCAAGAATGTAAAAGAAAATATGAACCTATTGGATAAATACTAATTAATCATGAAAAACATATATATAATAATGGATATGCATTGTATTAGGATAATACTTTTAGATATATGTTTTATCTATTATTTTGAAACTAACATTGACTGTTTGTCTGGATTTTATAATATATAGATGCCTGTAGAAAAGAATGCTGTAAAAATGTATCAAATGTCTTCGAATGATATGAAATTTCTTCAAAATGAACTCAAGCTGTAACTCTATCAATAAACGTAAGCATTACCTATAATTGCATCGAATTGGTATGGTATACGAGGTGAAATAGTGCGAGAGAGTCTTTTGTTTTGTTTGAAACCGATTGACAAAAGCTGTGCATTGTATGAAGTTTAATAATGAGACTAGATCGAGCCCTTTTGAATTGAAAAGTAAAAATCAAAAGTTTTAATGTTTTATTTGTGAATTGATTTGAATCAAACTGAAAAGTTCTCAAATCAAACCGAATGACCTCTTGTACAAAGAACGAATCGAGCAAGTTTACTTCTGTTCGTCTCGATCGTATACTGATTCAACTTTAGTCTTGTATTCTGCCTTTCTCATATATATGATAGAGTCACATGTAATGACTCAGTTTCTATGGCATGTGGTGTTTTCTAAGACGTAAATCATTTTTTGGCACAAACCATTTCATGTTCTGTATAAGCTAGTGTAGTCTTATGACAAAATATTCTATTCTACGTAATATATTTTTCTAGTGCAGGCTTCAATTGAAATTTATACAATGTAGACTTAATCAATCCATTCTAAATACAGCAAAAGACTTTTTCACACTATTTCACTTCATTTACTAGACAAATAAAACAAAAGAAAATGTTTACTTACATTTAATAAAAATAAATATTGCTGCTCAAGTTAATGTTGAAGAAGTTTCATATCATTTCAAGACAATGGATACATTTAAAAGCGTTCTCTTCTAGACTCATCTATAAATTATAATATCTAGACAAACAATCGATATTTGTTGAGAATACATCCAATTCCGCGATGTTGAACATTGCGGAATCAGTTCCGCCCCAGGCATCAATTCCGCAATTCTGGGAATTCACTGCCGTCGCAATTCCTAGGAATTTCGTCCAATTACCGAATTTCGAAATTCAATGCAGTCGCAATTCCTAGCGATTCCTTCAAATTCTGGAATTACATTTAATATCTAAGATGAGCTTCTAGCGATCACTCGTCTTCATTCGACTCAATTCCGGCAAGGAATTCCGGGAATTGAGTCAAAAGACGGAGTTGTTGGGAATTCCTAGAAATTCTTGCAGTTCTGGAATTACAATAGCTAATATGAACTAGTATTTATCACACTTCTAGTGAATTAGGAAATTAAATATGTTGCTGAAAACATTCATTTCGAATGAAAGTGACTACAAAATGTGCAATATTGATTGTGAAAAACGGTGTTTTTTCTGTTAGTAAATAGAATAAACGGTTGTTAGTTTAGTCGGGTCTGCATCAAGATATGATTTTTAATTTCGATATTCGTAATTATGATTTAGAAGTGAGAATTGAAATCTTATTGCAAATGAAATCGTTTCTGAGGCAGTATGTGTAGTGTGATGTACTCTGCTAGTAGTGACAAATATTATCTCCATCTGTAAGATTTTCAGCAGAAAGTCATTCGACCTTTTTTTACTCACTTGGATATTTTTGATTCATGGTTCAGTTTTTTCTTATAAATATGTTCAAGAAAATAAATCATTCCATGAGTTCGCTTCAAGGACAATTATTGATATAATTTGTGTTCGAAGTCATCATTCATGATGGTTTCTAGCCCAAGAAAATAAACTGCAATATATAGCTCATTTTCTTTCACGAACTCTCAAGTATTATGCAAAGCTGTAGTAATGACACCGCCGAAAAAATTAGAGCATCTAGCCGAGTTGATCATAGTTGTATGTGCAACTTTTCAAGAGACTTAGAGAAACAATTCTTCATTCGACAAATTAGATCTATTTATCGATTAAATGGATTACGGGTGTGGGTGTGGGTGTGGGTGCGCGGGTGTGGGTGAAGAGACGATCACACCCACAATCACACCCACATCCACGCTCATATACATATACCCACACGCACAACCACACTCACACCCACACCCGCACCCACACTGACACCAACAGTGAAAACGAAACCACACCCATACCCAAATGAACACCCACACACAACGTCCACACCCTTAATAGGATTATCACTAGATGCATAAGAGATGATAGAACAATATTAGAAGTTGTAATTCCGGAATTAGACGGAATTCCTAGGAATTCCCACCGATTCTGGTTTCACTCAATTCTGAAATTGCGGACCGGAAACGGATCATCACTAGTTGGATAAGAGATGATAGCATAATATTAGAAGTTGTAATTCCGAAATTCGACGGAGTTCCGGAATCGGATGGAATTCGGGTTCGGTGCAAGTCTGGAATTCCCGGCATTAGAAGAATTGATTTCGGGATCGGAGGGAATTCAGCTTTGACCCAATTCCGGAATTCCCGGAATTGATGGAATTGATTTCTAGGGCGAAACTGATTCCGCAATGTTCAACATTGCGGAATAGGATGACTGGTCTATTGGTTTCGAAGCAATATGTCAAATATATTTCTAGAACATTATCGTACTACCATACATATTCATTATTTCATACACATGTTTTTGCATGGTTAGTGTATATTCATTCAAATAAGCTAATATTTTCTTTATCGTTCTCCAAGCTTTTCAAGCTGTTCTCAGATGAACTTGAAAAACGAGAACGAAAACCGAAGACTGACTCTACATAAATGCTATCAATTCCATAGATTTCCCAATATATGAGTATAAAATTACTGAATAATGTCTGCTGTAATGAACTCTACAATAAAACGAATTGATTTGTTGGTATTTTAGCGCTAAAAATGAGTGCAGAATATGATCAAAATTCAAAGTCAGATTCTCAGTTACATTCACAAGTAAGTTATGTTTAACAATTATACCTTAGCCTTCTTGAAAAGACTATTTTCTTGTTGCAGTATACTGATAGAATCGTTGGTTTTGATGTCAAAAACAAAGCTTCTCTATCATCATATATTTGTTCTGTCTGTACCTTTTTATTCCGATATCCTGTTCAACTAATTTGCGGGCATCGACTTTGTGAACCATGTGTTGATTTTATAGAAAAGTAATCATAATTATGTTATTTTTTTTATTCATTGATTTAAATTACAATTTTCTTATCAGAAACTCTATAGTCGAATGCAGCGAATGTAAGCAAGTGACACCACGAGACGAAGTAAGATAAACTGCTTTTTTTCTCGTCTATCTTTACAATTATGTTCAATATATTATCTTTGATTTTAAGATAATGCATGATAAAGGTTGTCAACTTGACATGGACAAATTAAATATCATTTGTTCTCTATGTGATTGGAGTGGGATGTTTAAAAACTATCAAGTAACATTATCTAATTTTTTCCATACTCTATTTGCCAGTTTTCTTTTTTTCCTAGGAACATTTAGATAATGCTCATGTAAATCCTTTCTGTAAATCTTGTGATAAAAAGTTCAATACAGTGAATTCTCTTATGCAACATTTATCTAGTTGTGAGAAAGTCACTCTTAATTGTGTTCTCAAACCATATGGTTGTAATGAAAAGGTAGTATTTCAGAAATTTTGGTTTTAACACTATTATTCATTCATTAAAAACACAATACTTTTAGTTTCTTCGTACGTATACAAGAGAGCATTTTCTAAGTGAACAACATCAACATGCTTTACTTCAGTTTCTTCTTCACAAGAAAAACCATCTAATACATAATCAAGATAATAAATCAACAGTACTTTCTTCTACAACAATCACTACTAATAGAGAAGTCGATGAGATTTCTCAACATAACCTTCAAGAATTATTTGAAATGATGGATATTCTAAGGGATGGTCTTCATGCGTTAAATGATGATACTCAACGCCTCACTTCGGAATCATTTCACTACCAAAATTCACTACAATCGTTCTCTGAAGACATACCGAAATTAAAAATCGCTATTGAAGAAACTCATGCATCAATAGATGCTCATATAACCAATCAACAATTAATGGAAGAAAGTCTGACTTCACTTCAACAACATCTTGATGATCAAAAGAATATTTCCAATGACGGTACACTTATATGGAAAATTACGAATGTTCGACAAAAAATAGGTTTGTTTGATAGAGATTTTTTTCAATAATATTTTACTTTAAAAATAAAAACAAAATTGATTAGTCTCACGAGGAAACTATCCCAAGTGTTAATCGCAGATTCGGATGGGAGTTATACCAGTCAATAGAGCTCGACGAGCTGATCACTGTAGTAATAAACGTTTTTCCGGATAGATCTTTTTTATAGAATTTGTCTGATCATATTAACTCTATCGCGCATACTATACAAGGATATATTAGATTTATTCATTGTGAAAGACGCATGAGAAGTAGTTCTTTTTATTAATGGAAATGATAACTATTGAAAAAATGTTCAAAACAAAGGATGTGCCGACAATGACTACAAGAAATAAATGGATAATCGTTACAGTTACTGGTAGAACATTGGTCTACCTTGAAGCTTAAGCAAACTTCATTTATATTCGAAAATGACAGATATTTTGGCGGAAAATATCCACAAGCTGACCATGAATAGGAAATCATTGGTATAAAAATATCAGCAGAAAGTTGGTTGTGAACGAGTGACTGCATCTTGATAATGGAATCTCGAGCCCTCAAATCAATATTGAGATCGTCTATCAATACATGGTGATAAATTCTTCGTGCTAAACTTTTCCATTGACGAAAGAAATATCGATTGCAAGGTTGTTTTGTTGATGTAACCTTTCGTGGTATCACCATCAATTTACAAGATTGTCCTTTGGTTAAATTATCTTCATAAATAAAATTAGCGGTTTGAATGGATCATTGATCGACTAATAGAAGAAACCGATTGTTCGTGGCATCGTCGAGGACTTCCTGTATCCAATACTCCATCAACGATTTATTTAATTTACCAGATCTACTACAGGTGACGATCACGTTTGAAGCTGAAAACACATCTTTTGTTACCGGAAAACGACCTGCAGATTCTTGCAAACAGATGAAAACAGGACCAACGAGTCGACCAGCAGCATTAACAAGTGGTATTACAGTACACGAATGTGTGATGGCGTTGAGTGACTTAACGGTGACAAACGTTGATCTTTCATTTCGAAAAGATAAAGTAAGATTTGATGTAAATTCGTAATAAAAACCTGATTGATCAATATTAAAAATATATTTAAGTTTGTACTTCGGTAACATCTATTTAACTTCACTAACGAACTCTTCGCCGGCTTGATGAATTTCTTGTTTATGAAAAACCTCATGTTTTGCAACGAATTTTGTGACTTTCCTCGAGCGAATGTTATTTCGTCGTGTAAAATTCGACAATCATTTATCGCTAACGAGTAAATTATCGATACCTTCCACTGCAGCTTGAGTTAATGGGCATCGTCGGATGTCTGTATCGTGAACCGGCAAATTTGCATCGCGTGCTTGTTTAAACTTTTCAAGAACAGATAATTCAAGGCGAGATAGTTTTTGTCAACGATTTTCATCGTTCTGCACATATTCTCGAAATCGTGCTAATTGCATTAGATATTTTACACGTGGAAATTCATGTTGTACTGTTGTAAATGCGATACCCGGTCAAGCAAAATCTATAACTTTTCTCATATAGTCCAACGTAAATGCAGTAAATTCAAAACTGAAGTCGCTACTATTATCTTCAGGCGTAAAGTCTTTATCAGTATTATTGATATCAATATTGTCGTCGAGCTCCAGAGTATTATCATCATCAATTTTGTAACTGTTGCTTGTAAAAATGTCGTTCAACAGATTCAGTATTTGATCAGCGATTGAAGTTTCCTTCTCGGTCAAGTTCGTTATCCGAGCGATGTCTTTTGATAATATTTCATCGAGTACACGTTTAGCGATATTTGCGATATTTATCATTTTGTTAAAGGATATTATCCTGTTGAGATGCTCACTCTGAAGATCGTAGAATATGGAATGTTTTATTGTGAACTTATGTTCTCTGTTTTATGAGCGGACGTGATGGAAATATCCATGAAGATAAACATGGTAGGAAAAATCCGACAGTGGCAAAGAGAACGAAGAGAACAATCCAAATGATAAGACGAATATGATATGAAAAATTCCATAGGTGATAATGTAGATGACATAAAGGGAAAAATCCATACGAGAAGGAAGAAAAGAGAAAATTAACGCGCTGCGAAAGAAAGATGCACTGGAATAGAAGGATCACGCCATTGCTGTTGATCACTCCATGACGATTTTATATTTGTTCTTGTTTCCTTTTCTCGTCAAAGGAGCACGGTACAGTCATAGAACAGAGAGAGAGAGATAAAAGTGAAGAAAGAATAAGCGATGATAATAATTCCCCTTTCTTTTCTCTCTGTCTATATGAAATTATAGTTAGAAGAATACACCGTCAGTTGTAGAACAGTCCATGAACAGAACAGCATCATAACTTATACTATTACTATTCACAAGACGTAGAAAACGAATATTCCACACAAAAAGAAATAAAACGTCAAGTTTGATCATTGCAACGAGTAGGAATACGATACACACATACGAATCGATGAATTTGATGCTCATATGCTATATTCCATTGGAGAATTTTCACCATAAAATTCTTTGAGAATGACCTATTGAGAAAAACACTTATTACTACTGTGCTCAGCTCGTCGAGCTCGATCGATTGGGATACCTTTCGTTCGAATCTGTGATTAACACTTGGGATAGTTCCCTCGTTAGTGTCAAATTCCCATAAACTATAACATGGAATTTCGCCTTATTGTTTTTCTATCTATTTTTGACCTTTTTAGTTGATGCTGAGTGTGAACGACAACCATCTATTTACTCTCCAGTGTTCTTTTCATCGCCGATCGGTTATAAAATGCGACTTCTTTTATATTTGACTGGTGATGGGAATGCTAGGCGCACTCATATATCTGTGTTCTTCGTACTCATGCGTGGAGAGTACGATGCTATCCTTCATTTTCCGTTTAGTTTCAAAGTAACATTTGCTCTTTTGGATCAAACATCTCATCAACGACATATTATGGATTCATTCCTGCCTGATGTGAAATCAAGTAGTTTTCAAAGGCCTCGTTCAGATATGAACATTGCTTCTGGTATACCTAAATTCGTACCACTTACAATAATCCAACAAGATAACAATCCGTATATTGTCAATGATACCATGTTTATCAAAGTCATAATTCACTTTAGTGATATATCGAAGCCACTTCTATCATACACATTGAATCTCAATCCCGGCTTGCCAATTGAAATCCAACGGGAATCAATCAAACGAGAATTGGAAAAACAAAAACAAGAAAACTTACTAGCTACAAGGAACGCATCTACGTCAGTTAAACTTGAAATACGAACTAACGATTTTTCTAGTAATGATGAATAGATAACACATTGATTGCTTCAGAGGATTTGTTTTGTGATCCAATTTATTTTTATATTTTACTTCTCTAAAAACAGATTGTAAACAAGAAAATGATATAACTGTCGTTTCCGTTCTCTCTACGTATAAAGAAGGAATGATATTGAAATAAGAAGAATCATAAATCACTAGTGCATGTTCTGAGTTAAAGATACACGAATACTATTAGGTCTATTGACAGCATAATACATTTTCGAGTATCATGTCACTAATATATCACAAATTCTTGATTAAGCATTCCGCTAAGAATAGCTTCAGTACATCCCATGCAAACATCAAACGCAGGATATATGCGTTCCACTGCGGTTTTATTGTAAATTGCGTTCAGATGCGGCTAAAATCGATCTTTATTTTGTCTAGACGCGATTTTATTGCAACCGCGACCAGACGTGGTTAATGAAATTTCCGACGCGCGTCTTGACGTGTTGGTAAATGTGGGTGTGGGGTGTGGGTGTGGGTGTGGGTATGGGTGTGGGGTGTGGGGTGTCGGTGTGAGTGTGGGTGTGGGTGTGGGTGTGGGTGTGGGTGTGGGTGTGGGTGTGGGTGTGGGTGTGGGTATATGGGTGTCAGTGTGGGATGGTGTGGGTGTGGTTGGGGTGTGGGTGTGGGTGAGATTGTGGGTGTGAGTGTTTGTACAGGTGTGGGCGTGGGGTGGGTGTTAGTGTCCATTTCTATAATGCAACACTCACACCGACATCCATACCAACAGTCATACCCATACCCGCACCCACGCCCACATCCACACCCTCAGGTATATAAACAGAAAGCATATGATAATTTCAAGAAATGTTGTAGAAAGGTATTTTGAACATAATAGTAACTTTTCACCCCTAATGTACGGCAAATAAAGGTCATAAGTGTAGTATTAACGCATCAAATTGAGCTGCATGCAAGTACAATTGGAATATGTGAATGTTAACAGCGTTTCATGAGATTTAATGGGAAGTACAGTCCTGAATTGAGCTGTTAGAAATATATTTTATTTCATTCAATTGTTTCTGATACTACTGGAAACTATAGTCTGTTGGTTTTTTTCTATATCGACTGATTTAGAATCAATAGTTTCTATCTTGTTTAATATCCTCCGACTGTGTATGAAACAGATTATTGAAATGAATGCATTACATTCTTGAGCTCTATCCCAATAAAAATGGTGAAGACTGTATAAGAGATTACTGAGAATAATTTGTTTGGGATTCATTTTTTTACAGGATATATTTATTTCTTGAAGATTTATTAACATTTATCTATTATGATGATATTCCAGCACAAATACACTCTGTATCCACTATCGAACTGTATAGAACTCATTGAAAGTTCCGATTAATTTCCAGTGAAATAAGTCCCGGTAGCTTTTGAACCTTTTAGAAACTAAACAGTATAAGGTAAATTTTACAAACTTCAATGGTAGGGACTTAGAATATGCGACATCGCTTCCACTATTGTTATATTTCGATCACAAAATCAATTATTCATACCATTGAAAACAACTGAAATGTTGTTTCTTTCTCAAACAACAGAAACCTTTCAAATAGTACACTTGTTGCCGACATTCTGTTTCACTGAAGTCGATAAAGAATAATACAGCTGAGTGTTATTCAGGATTTTAATCTACTGTTTTCTCGCCCACCAATATTATTCAATGATTTCTTCATTGACGATCGATTAAACACAAATAGTATTTAATTTTTTTTTTGAAAGAGAAGGATAAATCTTGTTCTGATCTGTAAGCTCTCATATGTATAGAATGAAAGAAACAAGCAGTGTCACTGATGTTACGTGACAGAACGAAGAAAAAGTGAACTTCGTGGGACTCGAACCCACACCTTCTGCTATCCGGGCAGATGTCCTAACCAGCTAGACTAGAAGAACATCTTAATCTTCGTTTAGCATTAGTATGTTTCATCACTAGCGCTAACATGATCAAATACCTTCACCGTTGTTCTCCCAAAACACAGTGTTTGACTCGAATAGCAGTCACTCGATGGAAAAAAGTCAATTTTCTTATTGGACGAGATTAACAATTAAAAGTGTTAAGGCAGAGCTAGTTGCGTTCTCGAATCACATGATAATGATCACTCGAAGAAAGACAGATGCTTCTGATGTTTCAATGTTTGGTGAAAGAGTGTACCTCCGCTAATTTCATGCAATTTTATTAATACATGCAGGCCTTGTCACAGCTTAGAAGTAGTCCGATGAGACTACAGTAGAGCAAGGATAAAGAAAGATATTCATTGATGATAAATATCATGTTTGACAAAAAAAACGAACGTTGGAAGTATTTGAAAACGATTTATTAGGGATTAGATGTCCTTTTAAATCTACCTGGCTTAAGACATCTGCTCGTATAGCAAGACATATGTAGTTCTAATGCATAACGCAGAAAAGATTATCTGTTTTTTTTTGCATCTTATTCTGTTTTCGTTTCTATTCAGTGCATAATTCTAGATCATGACATTGAATTCGAATAATATGATTCGAAAACGATGACAGTTACGCACTTTATTAGAATGAAGAAACATGTTCGTTCGAAATTAGAGCTATTGATATTACTTGCAAATTTTTAATTATTACCATTATGGAATTTCTTCTTGACGAACACTCAGTGGATAAAAGCTTCTTCTGGGATTGCAACAAGACTCAATGAGTTCATGTGTTGCAATATTGATATTCTCTCTGATGTTATTTGATAGCTATCAACTCCTAAAGAACGAAATACTTAGCGATTCATGAAGCGGCTTCACTAATCCATCTCTACATGACATATACTAGTATCGATTTACTTGGGTTAAGATAGTTCGGTTTTTTTCTTTTCTCTTTATTGAATGATCAAGTAAGTGACATGATTCTTTGATAATAGACTATCAAGACCACATTTAATAGAACTTTAGTTGTATAGAAACATTTTTTTACAATTGCTTTCTTTTGCAGAAAACATATTTTCTATTCTAATGATTGATTCGTACATTCGTTTGTATATTACAATTATTTTTTTATCAATTTGTTTTGTTATTAATACACAAAGTGATTCACTGTCTACTTTGGAATCAACCATAATTTCTCATGGTGGACAAGTATTGCGAATAACTGATCCACAATACAAAGCAGCAGCTACACTTCATAACAGAGCAATACAAACATGGCCCGATCTTATATTACGCCCAGCAACTTATAATGATGTATCATTAGCACTTTCGACACACTCTTCTATTCAAATACCGATTCGTATAATGGGAGGGCGACATAGTCATGGAGGTTATTGTAGTCATCAAGGTACAGTTCTTGATTCTGCACTTCTAAAAGGTCTCACAATTGATTGGAAAACGGAAACAGTAACTATGCAAGCAGGTGTTCTATGGCAAGATGTTTATAGAGCTTTAAATGGATCCGAATATATTGTAATGGGTGGAATATGTCCAACAGTAGGTGTTGTAGGTTTTACATTAGGAGGTGGTAATAATGCTATGTATAGTCGTTCGTATGGTCTTGCAACTGATAATGTCCTTAACTTTACAGTAGCATTATACAATGGAAGTATTGTGACGGCATCATCTAATACTAATGCAGATCTATATTGGGCACTACGTGGTGGTGGAGGTGGAAATTTTGGTTATGTTCTAGAAATGACACAAAAACTGCATCGAATCAATGGTACACATTTGCCTAATGGTCAATTTTCATTTTTAAATATAACTTGGATGGATGCAGATATTAGAACAGCTCTTATCAATTGGATGAGATTTGTAAAAGACATTGCTGATGTTGATACTCGCATTTCTTTTCTTGTACTTTTGGCTGTTAACGGCAAAAGCAACTTTCTTATGGTGTACTGTTCATTCAATGGGCCACACTTCGATGTTGACAAAGTGTTTCAGCCGTGGTTGTCACAACATCCGAAACCTACCTTTTACAATGTGTTCAACTATACACAATCTGATATAAGTAGAGTGCTCGGTATTCCGTTCCCTGTCGTAAATCGAGAACATATTTTATCGACTATGGCCATCAATATCACTGAAGCCATGTTGGATGTTATTTTAGATTTTCAACCAAATTCCACTCTTGATATTGGATCATGGACGGAAATCGTTTATCTCCATAATACCAACAAAGATAAAAATACTGCCTATGCTTTCCCTGATATTGCATTTGATATTGTACCAGGTGTTTCATGGAAGAATCCTGATTATGATCCTTATGCAAGACAAATGAGCGAAAAATTCCTTGAGAAGTTAATAGATGCAGCAGCACCTACAAAAAGTATTGTTGGAGCATACATTAATCATATTGATCCATATTTACGAGATTGGCAAACAATGTACTACCGTAATAATTGGGATCGTCTTCGAGATATTCAAACAAAATGGGATCCAACATGGTATTTTCGGTTTCCACGGGGTATTCCACCCCGACAATAACAACTATAGAACGCATACGAATTACTAACAATAACATGGTTACTATTGGTACTCTCTAAAAAAAGGAGTTTTCCAGAACTATTTTTGGTTCTGCACATGCTGCAGAACCAATTTACAGTTCTGTATGATAGTACAAAACCCTGAAAGGTTCCGCCCAATAATGTTGAACCTTGTAAGGTTCTGTCAAAAAATGCTGAACCATAAAAAGTTCTTTGCCCAGAAATGCTGAACCAAATGGTTCCGTCCAATGATGCTGAACTATCAAATGTTCCCTTTCTA